TGCCCCATCGCGACCCAGCCACGTCGTCATCCCTACTGGCCCATCACCTCTAGCCATCGCCGTCACAACCCAGCCATCGACCCAACCATTTCGAACCAGATCTGGAAAAGTGTAGATGTAGTTAAATGGAGAGATCTGAATCCAGATTAGTAGATATGGTTATTCTTTAATGCATTAATTATTTTTCTTTTTTATTGGATTCTTGTATTTACAAGTGTTTTTGCCACAGCTGAGGTGAAATTGATTTGGAGTGAGTATGAAAGAGAAGAGAGGGACAGAGGAGAGTTTGAGCACCAAGGATCTCTAGAGTGTTTTTTTCTTAAAGTTTCTTAAAATGGTATATTGTGTGATTGAGATTTAATGCTGAAAAATTGATGTGACTTGTTATTAAATCTCAACCACACAATACACCACTCTAAAAAATTTTAAGGAAAAAAAACTATAGAAAATCCTTGCTTGAGTTTGAGAGAGAAAAGGCTTTGGTAGTTCGGCGTCGTCAGCGAGAGGATAGAAGAGAGAGATGAGAGTTTTGGGGGAGTCTTTTGTGTGCATCAAACAATTATATGTATATATACATATATATTTCTATGCTTTGCATGAAAATAAAAATCGATAATAAAGTTCCATGATAAGAATAATATATAGAGAGAGATGGCAGTGGAAGAGAACTTTGGAATTTTTATAGAATTATTGCACACTAATGATTCTATCTTAATAATAAGAATACAAAATAATGATAATGAAAGGGACGGCTTGTCCCAGTCTGATATTTTAAGGTTTAAAAGAAATATTTAATTCATAGATCTAGGTTGACCTAAAATTTTTAATTTATTGAATTTTCGAGTTTGACTTAGAATAAAGGGTTTTAGTTTAACTTGACCATTTATAAAATTTTAATTTTAATTTTTATATTATTTAATTACAAAATAATCTAGAAAGATAATAAAGAAAAAAAATACATATATATATATATATAAGAAAAATTAGTCTAAGGTCTCTTTTCCATTTTTAGCAATGGAAGAGATCCACAATATTATATTATGATGTGTAAGGTCCCTCAACTTCCACACCAATATATCACAGAGAAAATTAACTCTTTCAAATCAATCCTTATTTTTTTTTTCTCTTTGTCTAAACTCTGTCTTCTTCTGCTAAATTCACATATTCTCCTCTCTCTATCATCTCTGCGTGAGATTCTCTCTCTAAAATGTTCTCTCTCTAAAGCAACAGTCTACACCTTCCATTCCTCCTTGTGTTCCACTGCCAATGGCCACGTTGCCGACGAGATCCAATGGCCACTGGGTAAAGATGAGGCTGCGGTTAAACTGGATGAATCGCATTACTTCTTCTCTCTCCGCACTCTGAAATTGCACGATTCAGATTCGGATTCGGATTCGAGTGATGATGAGAGCAGTAGAAAGAAGGGATTGGTGATTGATTCGGATAATTTGTTGAATTACGGGCTGACGATTGCGTCCAAGGGGCCAGAAGGTTTGTTGAAAGAGTTTGATGAAGTTTTGGAGCATTACAGTAGCTTTTCGGTA